AATATTTTATATTGCGTAGACACTCTACTAATTTGCCCTTAAACACATTATAGTAAGGTTGAAAGAAATCAATCTCACGCATAGCATTTGCCTCCCGACATATACGCGTTAAAGCACAATTATCCCCGTAATTTGTTCGATGGTTTTGAACTTTAAATTTTGATGGAAATCGAAGAGAAATGATAGGCGTTGACAATGAAATTTGAGATAATATTGTAGGGCTTTCAATTTTACCATTTAGAACTTTATACAAAAATATAATGTCATTCATAAGAAATCTATACTGAATTGTGGGAATATCCAAAAGTCGACGAAGCTCAGTATAATCGTGGTTATATCTATCAAAAGGAATGCCAACCTGTCTTGCAGCGAATCTTAGAAAAACATTCTGCACTCGTTCGATTCTTATTTTGTGTACATATAGTATTGAGGTGACCAAATGACAGAAGCGTATTCAAGGAGAGGTCGAACAATTCTTTTGGAAAATTTTATTAAAATAGTAGATATAAAAAATCACAGAATTGAGAACAATTTTTTATGAAGGATTTTATTATTTATAAAGATAATTCAATTCTTGACAAGAATTTCTAAGAATTTTATGAAATTTTTGAAAATAATTGAATTCATATGCTCAAAATTTTATTTTTGAAAATAATTGAATTTCTGCAAAGAATTTTGTTATTTATAATGATAATTGAATTCTTGACAAAAATTGCATTACAATTTTCAAAAATAATTGAATTTCTTGGAAGAATTTTGTAAAAAAAATTTTAAATAATTTAATTCCTAAGAATTTTGTTCTTTATGAAAATAATTGAAAACTTTTGAAGAATTTTGTTATTTATAAAGATAATTGAATTCTTGTTAAGAAGTTTATATAAGGCAGTGATACTAAGACTTGAAAATAAGAATTTTTCTTGATTTACAAATTTTAGGGTCAAATTTTTTGATTTTTTTTAGATTATCTTAAAACCCTAGCGCGATAGGGTTAAGTAAACTTTAGATTCAGCTTCAGCGACCCCAAAAACTTTTTTTGAGTTTATCTCAAAACTCTGACGTGATAGGGTTAAATAAACTTCAGATCCTGTTTCAGCGACCCCAAAAACATAAAGTAGTAACTGTCTAACCTAAAGCTAAGAGCATCAAGTTTTTTTTTGTGTGCCAGTGTCATATTCCAGACTATTTTACATATCTGTTTAGAAGTTTATACCGAAAAAAAAATATTCTTGTTTTGAGAGGACAACTCCTCTTCTAAAATCCTCTTACATTTTATTCTTGAATTAAGAATATTACTCTTCATTGGAGACTATTCCTCTACTTTTAAGAGGAATTACTCTTAAGTGGAGAATAATCCTCTTAAAATAAGAGGACGTTTTTGAGCCATATACGAGAGGAAAATATGCATTGAAATAAAAGGAATCCCCTTAAAACAAAACAAAAATTTTTCAGGGTAGGCTCTACATTTGACTAAATTTTAAAAAAATCTAATTGTTTTCGGAAAAATCCAAATATTTCAAAAAATACGAAATTTTTTGAAATTTACTGAAATATAGGTATATCGGGATTTTAAACCAATTAATAATATTCCAAAATATTTTACAAATCCGTTTAGAAGTTTAGTTTTCTTTGTTTCAATTCTATAAAAGTATCCAAAATATTGAATAACCTTATCATAATAATTCTTACTTTTATCATTACTTATCCAATAAAAAAATTGAGCAAAATCGGTTAAGATTTACTCGAGTAATTCGATTTTATCGATAAACAGTTGATATTTTAAGAATACCTATAAATATTCACGGTTTTTACTTTTTACTTAGCGGCAATTCCCTACCACGAATCTTGATATAATTTTCCAAATTGTTTTTTATTAGGGGAGATTGGGGTATTGTGGGCCACACTTTTTCTTAGCTCAATATCTTACATACAAAATTTATTTTTTTAATTTTAAAATTTTTAGTGTCAGTAGGAGGTCTAAACTATCATATATCATAGTCAGTTTACCAAAATTATCACTTATCTAAAAGAAATTTTAGTTTTACTAAAGAGTGCACTTTTGTGATTTTTAAAAATGTTGGGGAATTGTAGGCCACTGCCTAAATTGAGTTCAAAATAAAAAAAACGATGAAATATATTTATTAAATGGTTAGAAATTAAAAAAATGTTATTAATGTTTAATTATTAGTTTAAAATTAGAAAAGAAAAAGTAAGAAAATGAAATTAATCGGAATCACAATTTAGACAAGTAAAATAGGCTCAATTAATTACGCATTTTAAGTGAACAGTTCTATTGCTTGAATCGCAATGAATATAATTGCTTTTGTTAAATTACTATACGTATGAGTGATTTTAATAATATTTGCAATTAAATCGCCAAAAACAAGCAACAAATACTTCCCCAAAAAAGTGGCCCACAATTCTTCAAATGCTTCATTTTACAAAAACCTTTGTATTATTTATTCATTTTAATTTGATGCAAAATTTCTTTTTGGAGTCAAAGTACCAATGACATACAATAATTAAAAAAATATTTTCCATAATTAATTCTTGAAAATCCTTGTAAAAACAATAAAAACATGAAGGCCCAAAATAAATATTTATAAATGCAATTTTTCAGGTGATTTTTGTTAACGGTTTATAGGTAATTGTAAAGCGTTGTAAAGTCATGAAATGATAATGGAAAATTTACTTTGGACAAACAAAAGAAAATAAAAAAAAACTCGATGATCAAACTTGTAAATATTATCAAATAATGGAGGTGGCCCACAATTCCCCAATCTCCCCTATTTTTATAATTCTTTTACGTATGGAAATGGAAAAAGATTCATTTCTTTAATACAAATTGAGATTTATTTGAATCCAAAACTACTTTGTTTTGATGCAAATAAATTTGGTATTTGGACTATATAATTAATTATTTGACGCAATTAAAAGTATATTAGTCTCAATTAAAATAATTAATTATGAAGAATTGCATATTTGCTACAGATAAATATTTAGTTATTTTAAAAAAATTATTTTATTGATGCAAATAAATATGTATTTGACTCAAATAATTCGAATTTGATACAAATAACTATATATTTGATACTATAAATTAAAATATTTATATCCAGTAAATATTTACTTAGCACAAATAAATAAAAACAAAGAAATAAGTAAAAACAAATAAGTTTAATTACAACCGAACGAGCGAGTGAGGTATATGTAGCTAGATTTAATAATTATAAATATAATTGAGATTTGAGGAGAATTTTGTTTAATTTTTTACCATAATATTGAATTTCTGCGAAGAATTTTATTACTTTTGAAAATAATCAAATTTCTGCAATCATTAAATTCAATAAAAATTGAAATTTTCTAAAATTTCAAATTGCCACCTTTTGAGGTTCATCTATTTGACGGGTTCCACGTTAAGTGACCCAGGTCAAAATTTTAAATGTTTGGGATCGGGTTAAAAGTTTGCACAAACAGTAGTCCTATTAGATACAATTAAAAATACCAAATATTATTAATTTATTTAAACAAATATAAAAACTGGAGGGGGTCAAAGTTTAAATTTTTGGTCTAACATGGAATATTTGAAAAATTTGTAGTTTCTTTAAAACAAAACGAAAATACGTTTTCTATTTTGGGTTTTTCTGCTGTTTTTCAACACTCTCTAATGGTGTAAACAAATGTAGAGAAAAAAAATGTTTGACCTTGAAAAATTAAATTAAAAAATAAAATTTCATTTTTTCATCAAATGGACAGTTTTTATTTTAAAAAAAAATTTTTATCATAAAGGTGAGGTTTTTTCCTAAAAAAAATGTATAGGTCAAAACGTGGGACAAGAACTTTTAACTGGTCAAAATAAACATTTACTTCTGCAATCCACCGCCCCTGCTCGTTGTTGGGCTATATATTGTTTATAACAATTGAAATAAATTATTTTATGCTTTATTAATTATCTGGTGGTCATATTGGATGAATTTAAATTTATTTAGATCATGTGCATCAACGGAATAAGAAAATAAACCTCCTTTTTTAAAAAAGTGTATTAATTTGTTAACTTTGATTTAAAAAAAATTATAAATAATTAAAATCTCCAAAATCGGCCTCGAAGGATGTCTTAAGAATTTATTCCCCTTTAATTTAAGACAAAGAACACTCAAATCGGTTAAAAATTGTAAGCTATAGACATTTTTTAATAGTAAATTGTAAAAAAAATTCCACTGTGGGACGGTGCACGGCAGAAGTAAATGCTTAATTTGACCAGTTAAAAGTTCTTGTCCCACGTTTTGACCTATACATTTTTTTTAGGAAAAAACCTCACCTTTATGATAAAAATTTTTTAAAAAAAATAAAAACTGCCCATTTGATAAAAAAATGAAATTTTATTTTTTAATTTAATTTTTCAAGGTCAAACAATTTTTTTTCTCTACATTTGTTCACACTATTAGAAAGTGTTGAAAAACAGCAGCAAAACCCAAAATAGAAAACGTATTTTCGTTTTGTTTTACAGAAACTACAAATTTTTCAAATATTCCATGTAAATTTTTGACCTGGGTCACTTGACGTGGAACCCGTCATTTATGAAAATTGTAAACTGAACTCTTTTGAAATTGAATTGATTTTTGAACTATTGAAGTAAAATTATTCATTAAATAATTTGTTTATTTTATGATAGTTTTTCAAGAATTAAGTTATTTAAAAAGAAAATTAATTTAATAATTAAAGAAAAAATAATTTTATTCTTAAGGGCATTTGAACCTTGATGACGTTACAGATTGTGCAAAGCATGTGTGACGTCATCAAGGTTCAAATGCCCTTAATTCAAAAAGCAGAGAAATAATTTATTTCCAATTAAAAAAATATATTTAATTTTCAATTTCAAAAATAAAGAAATATTTAGTTTTTAATTAAAACAAAAAAAATTGTAATTTTACAAATGGAAAAATGACAGAAAAGAATAAAAAAAATTTAACGGTTCTTTAGTAAAATATAAGACGTTTTAAAAATTATTTTCTAAAAATATTTAATACATATACAAAAAAACATTGTTTTCTTCCTTTTTTCTAAATAATTTCTTATCCAATAAAATTCATAACAACGAGATGAAGAATAATGTGTGCAAAAATAAAATCGGCAAATCCCCTTTCGGCACTGATTCCATAAAAATGCGTTTTATTTTGTGGATTCACTTGAAGTCTGAGACACACTGAAATGAAAAAAAATAAAATTTCATTATTTTCGTAAAGTAGGTATTTATAATAAATAATTTTCCTTATAAAATTTATATTCTAGATTTATTTTTTTCATTAAAAACTTTTAATTTAATTTTTCAATATTTTTAACTAGAATTAATTTTTTCTCGAAAAATAACAATTTTTTCAGAAAATATGTTCGAAATTTCAAGTAATTAATAGTTATTACCTACTAGTTTATAACAATAATAATCCCTTTTTGTTAAAACATTTTTTTGGGTCTGATTTTTCAATTATTTCGTAATAGTAATCATTATAAGAAAAGAATATTAATAATTATAGAAATAACAATAGAACTAATAATATTAATGATAATAATAATAAAACCATTAATTATGGTAGTTAAGAATTTTATATAGAAAAAATGATTTTCAAAACATAACCTCAAATATTTTGCATTTACTATTAAGAGATCAATTAAATAAAGGAAAAAATCATCGAAATAATAAAAATAATAAAATCAACTCTCAATGAACAGGTTTTTAAACAAAAACTATGAATATATTGGAAGAAAAGTTTTAGATAAGACTGTTTTTACCGGTTTTTAGGTTAGGATAATTCGAAAAATTTTACAACTAAAAAATTTAAAATGTTTATTAGTTAATTAATTTACTCACCACCTAAAATAAAGCACGAAATACAGGAGATAAATCCACTGAGAAAACTGTTAAAGGGAAATGTGCCAACGAGACAACAATAGATGAATTGAATGACACCAGTCAAAAACACATAAAATAGATACGAGTCAATAATTTTCAATTTTTTTGGTGTATTCTTTGTGTATTCCTGCCAAAATTTATTAACCACAGCTAACATCGACATTTTAAGTGAAAATTATTAATTTACGTGAAATAATGCACCACCGGAGTTTATTTCAACAAGAACCTCTCTTGGAAAATTGAAAAAGTGTCAAAAGAAATTCGTGGAATTGACGCGTGGCACGAGACAGGGACGTAGGTATTTACATTTAAATTGGTATTTACATTTGAATTTAATTTCTTTTTGTAAACAATTTATAGAGGTTGGTAAATTTTTCAAAAAGGGCTCTAGACTATTTTCTTGTGGAACGGAAACAAAAGAGAAAGATTTAAAATAGTTTGCAAGGTTTGGAAAATTTTTTTAGGGGAGAATTTAAGGGGTGACGGGGAAAAGTATGTATGTCCCTGGGAAATCTCTCCCACGCACGCGTTCGAACATTTTGAGGTTATGTTAACCGCCGCCAGGTGCGCATTTTCGTTGGTTGGGTTGGTTCATGCGTGGTTTTTTTTACTGTGTTATTTTTTCTCTTTAGAAATACTGGCGCAAAATTCGCGTCTTCAACCGCCACACCGGCGGCTCTACTGCAATTGTTTTTTATATCGATAGTAACAACAGTTCTCGAGGGCGAGTGTACTTCGAGAGAGAAGAGAATTTGAAAAACGAACGTGTTGTGTGTTAAGCTAGTGAGTGAGAATCTTTTTCATCTCTTCCCCGGTTTTTAGTGAATTGATTGATTTTTGGCTTTGGCCTTATAAATTTGTTAGTGCGTTATGGTCCTGTGATTTTTCACTAAGTAGTGTGGAGGAAAACAATCATGCAGAGAAGTGGTGAGTTTATTTTTCCACTGTTAATATTTATACAATTAGACATTTTTTGTATTTTTGAAATTTACGGGAGTGTACATAGTAGAAAGTAGAATGGAGAGAAAAACGCGGGGTTTTTTCTTGTTGGGGAGAATTTTGTGTCGCGAAATTTTTGCTTGAGAGGAAAACACCTGACATTTACGGGTCGTCGACCATTTTGGAGGGCGCCAAATTTTCCGTCAATAAAACGCGGTGCGCATCACACACCCGGTCAATACGAAACAATAATGCAAAAGAAGACCTAACCTAACATAAACATTTTGTCAATTTATCCCGATTTAGCCAATTGAATGATATTTAATTAGAAGGAAAAAACTTGGGGGTTATTTATTGTCATTTTGTCCCAGGGACACGCGGTCATTGACCTAATTATTTTTTGTTTTGGCGCTAATTTTTTGGCGCATTTTTTTTTTATTGATTTCGCTTTTTTGAGGTTAGAAAATAGACTTTTAATTTTGAAATTTTTACTGCTATTAATATTAATTTTGAAATGAATAGCAATTCAATTAGTAGTTGTATAAAAAATAGATTCAATTTGTACATAATAATAAAATTAAAGTACTTAATTTAATAAATTAGCAATAGTATACAGTAAATTAATAATTTAATAGGTTAATTTTTTTTGCTGTTTCTTTTCTATCATTTTTAGGGGAAGAATTTATTAGGCGATAGGGACTTTAGTAATTGAAAATTTTATTGAGATACTAAACTAAAGTGTATTGTATATATTGAGTAAAAAATATTGTCTTTCTTTTGTATACATAGCGGCATTGAACTCGATTCAGGATGATTCACAAGATTCGAATACAGGTACGCATTTATAAAAAGCACAAACCTCGTAGAAATCACGACATATTACGTGAATCATTTTCTTCCTTATTTTATTTCTCTTATTTGTATTTTACTCATTTGGAAAAAAAATATATTCGTAGTTCTAGTGAATCATTTTCATTCTTGTAAAATTTTACACGCTTTATTATGAATAAAAAAAAATTATTCGTAGTTATCGTAGGTTTGCTTGATATTTATTTTGTTAGTGTAGTAATTATTTAGTTTGCGATCATTTATGATTATCTCTGCAGTACATAGTAATTTTTATTTCTAAACAAAAATTATGTATCGCAGTTAATATAGTTTGTCAATTTTTTCGTTCCTTTGTTTGTTAAGTATAGGTAATTAACAATTAATATTTCTCCACTTAATTTATAATTATTTATGATTATTAATTAATAATTATCAATATATTAAATAATAATTATATTTATTTATTTATAATATTTATATATAATAATTCATATAAATAAATTAATTATATTAATAAATAATAATTATTTTAACAAATAATAAAAAAGAAATATTTATATTAAATTCCAAAATAAAATAAATAAAGAAAATAAGAAATAAAATAAAAAATAATATAATAATAATAATAATACAAAACGTAACAATAGTAATACGAATAAGATAATAATACGAATAATAAAAGTAATAATTTCTTAATAAAATAACAATTAATGAAAATAATAATTATTTATTTAGAAACTTGTACTATTGTTAATTAAATATTTATTATAAATTTAATCAATTGAGTGTAATTTATATAATTAAATTTAAAAATTTGTTTAAAGAAAATTGCTGAAAAATTATTAAAGAACAATTTTGAAAATTTTTTTGTAAATTAATTTTTAAAAATAATTTGAATTTATTTCTTGTTTGTCTGTGTATGAAATTTGTCAATTAGTGATAAATTTTTCACTTGAGTTTTTTTTTGGGGAGTGAGAGGAGAAAAAAAATGAAATTTATTGATTAAATATTTTAATGAAGAGGCTGCTTGAGAATAAGATGACTCAGAATTTTTTTCTCTTTTCTTTCTTTCTTTTTTTTTTGAAACATTTCGTATATTATTGGTTTAAATACTGTTTTTTACTCCCTAAAGTTATTTTCAATTTTTTCGTTTTTTTTCTTTCTTTTTCTTAAATCAACTGTCATTGAACGGAACATAAATAAACGAGTTATATTTGCTTTATTCTTCCACAATCTTCTTTTTCTTATCATCTGCTTTCGATTCCATCGCTTTTTTATGATTTCGAACTTTTACATTAGAAAAAAAATGAAAAAATATCGTGAAAGTGAACTTGAAATTTTTGATATTGAAAAACAATTTCTTTTTTAATTTCTCTTTTTTTTTCTTCTCTATATTTTTTTACGAAACAAAAATTTTAATTTTCTTAAAATAATACCGTGTAAAATATAATTTATTATTTCAATTTTTTACTATTTTAAAATTTTCTTTTGGAAATTTAAATTTGTTGCAAATATTTAATACTTTGGTTTAAATTAACTATAAATTCGTTAATATGATTAATAACTTAAATTAGATTATTTGAGCGGATGGGAAGAGGAACTCGCCGAGCGCGAGACCGTAAGGGATAATATCAGTCAGGTATAGCAGTGAGCGCCTCTGGGCCACACATACTGCTACCTGACTGGAACTATGCTTTACGGTCTCGCGCTCGGCGAGTTCTTCTTCCCATCCGCTCATTTGTATATTACATTATTTATTGTTATTATTAGTAACATTATTGTTGTTACTGTTGTTACATTTATAATTAATAATTATTAATTAATAATTAATTACTAATTAATTAATAACTATTACTTAATAATAATTATTATATGTATGAAGTTGAATTTATCACTTGGTTAAAATTGTTTAATATTGAGAGATGAGATATTATCAATCTATCTTAACCTGACTTGGATAGGTTGATAATATCTCATCTCTTAATTAAATAATTATTATAATTAATAATAAACATACAAATACTATTATTTTTACTATTATTACTTTATTATAATTATATAATTATTATTGTTATTATTGTTATATAATTTTTGTTTTTTGTGGTTATATTGTTGTTTATTTATTTGTTGTTATCGTTGTATTGCTATTATTTTTTTGCATTAATAAATATAAATAATTTTACAACAAAAAAGTAAATAAATAGGGGAGAGTGGGGCAAACCGGACCCCTCTCAATATTTCCGAAATGGCGAAATTGGAAATAGTGTTGTTTACAAATTTAAAACAACCCTGTTTAGTATACCTTATTTTTTCAATCTGACAGTTTTAGCTTGCGTTTGTGCGACGCAGGGAGCAAAAGTTTTTTTTAGTTTTTTTCTACACTTTTACGAATTTTTTCTTAAGGAAATTCTGAGGAAATCGTGTAATGTTTCCAAATATTAGGCCTTAGGTTTTGAAGGTACATACCTCAGGAATATTTACCACCAAAAACTTTGATGAATTTGTAAAGCGTTTCTTTTTGACAAACATTTATTCTCAAAATGGGCCTGTGGGGCAAACCGGCCATAGAATATTTCCATTGAATTAAAGTTTCATAAAAATTATTTTTAAATAAAATGTTTCTTTCATTAAAATATTTACTTACAATGAAAAATAATTGTCTTCCAATGAGAATTGCGCCCTTTAACATTGTTTCTCTGATAATGACAAACATTTTTATTTTTTTATTAAAAAAAATATTTATTTAATTAAAATTCAACCCCGTATTATTATTTAATAATAATCATGTAACCATTGTTTACATGATTCTTTATGTTTTTTATTATTGTAGATTATGTAAATGCAATATTATGAATAAAAAACTAAACGGTCCGGTTTACCCCAGGGGGTGGGGCAAATCGGACCGTTTGCAAAATTTTTTAAAGTTAACACAGCAAATAAACAATAAAAGATAAAGTATAGGTGTCTCTAGGAAAAAGTTGCGCAATTAAATGATCTTTCAAACAAGCCATCGAAAAATAAAATCGGTTGATTCGTTTAGTCACAAGAGTCAAAAAACCGTTAGGGGGTCCGGTTTGCCCCACTCTCCCCTATACTTTTCTTTCAAATAAATATTCCTCTTTCTAATTAAATTGTATTATTATTATTACTATTATAGTATTAATTAATTATAATTATTTAAGTATTCACGTCTAATAAATTAGTAATTGTATAATTGTTAATTTATTAATTGTCATTAAAAATTATTAAAATAATTCAAATTTATATGCAATAAATATTTATTTAAATAACGTATGCGACTCATATACTAGTATTATTATGTGAAACGATATCTCATTTTAAGAGTCTATTGTACTATTTACATAAAAAGAGAAAATAAAAGAGAAGTATCATCTTACAGTGGTTTTAGTTCCTAAAATTGTGTCATTTTTGTTCTAAAGTTACTATTTAAATTGTATGCTTATAATAACAACAATAGTAATAATAGTAATAATAATAATACTCTAGAAAAAT